TGACCGTAGCGATCGAAGCAGGTGTTTCCGACAACGTCATCCGTACCCCAGAAAACACCGGCATAGTAGTGTCTGGACCAACTCCCGCAGAATCTGGCACCGCTTCTATTTCTAATACCCACAATCAAAGTACACATGCAGCATCTGCTTTGTTCCATAACTGCACCTTTAGTGGACCAATTAATGTCAGCATAACAAACACAAAATAGATAATTCGACAACAATATTAAGTCCACAGCACATATTTTCAAAAATGCCACACAGTGCGCGCTGCCAGTAATTTCTGCTGATGATAATTTATTCACAGCTATTCATATGTAAATTTAGCATTCAGCTTGTTCAGTTTATTCAATTTCTAATTATTTGCTAGTTTCTTGCGTTGTAGAAATAAACTTCCTTTGATTGTGATGATATCTAAACTTGCTGTTCTGTGCGTTTCTGTGTACTGACCACGAGTGTGTGATAAGATAGTAAAAACTGGTTCCAGGGCCCATTTCATCTGATCACTGTGTCGACCAGCCGATGCTCATTACACGTCGTTCCCGATATTCTGGTACAATGTTATCTATACTGTCATATGAATTTGTTTTATAAATTATCATATTATATTTTTTTCAGAGTCGATGTTACAATTGTAGGTATCGTACTTCCTGTCCAGCTGGAGCCAAACCATCAGTAAGGCGCACTACTGTATTTGATTTTGTAAAAATTAATTTTCACTGTATTTAGCAATATTCACAGAGTTTAACAATGAGTTCACATATTCATCTTTATTTAATTTAGTGGGTTTCACGCATAAATAATTGAAATTTAAATCCAATGAACAATTATTGACTTTTACAAAATGTCATCACTAGACCCAATATTGTATGTAACTACGTAGTGTTGCATGTTGTCATCACTGAACCCAATATTATATATAACTACGTAGTGTTGCATGTTGTCATCACTGGACCCAATATAGTATGTAACTACGTAGTGTTGCATGTTGTCATCACTGAAACCAATATTGTATGTAACTACGTAGTGTTGCATGTTGTCATCACTGGACCCAATATTGTATGTAACTACGTAGTGTTGCATGTTGTCATCACTGAACCCAATATAGTATGTAACTACGTAGTATTGCATGTTGTCATCACTGGACTCAATATAGTATATAACTACGTAGTATTGCATGTTGTCATCACTGGACCCAATATTGTATGTAACTACGTAGTGTTGCATGTTGTCATCACTAGACCCATTATTGTATGTAACTACGTAGTGTTGCATGTTGTCATCACTGAACCCAATATTGTATGTAACTACGTAGTGTTGCATGTTGTCATCACTGGACCCAATATTGTATGTAACTACGTAGTGTTGCATGTTGTCATCACTGGACCCAATATTGTATGTAACTACGTAGTGTTGCATGTTGTCATCACTGGACCCAATATTGTATGTAACTACGTAGTGTTGCATGTTAAAGTTTTGTTTTGAATTAATATGCATTTATTTTTAGTTATATGCGTATCTTCAATGCTTTATTTGCATATATAAGGAATTTATTTGAATATTGAGTGACATAATTAAAAAAAATAGCATTATCTTCACATCTATTTTTAAAAAAGAAGAGGAGAGATGGTGTGTCCTGATGAAGAAGATTTGACATGAAATGATATTTGTAACAGTGATATATCTTAGTCACTTCTTTGTTCTTTCACTAGGGCCCAATATTTCATGATTGTAGGTATTCTATAGGCTGGTACGAGATATCAGGTGGTTGCCGACAACAATGTGTTACTAGGCATGTTGTTTCACGGTGTTGTGCAAATCATTTTGGGCCAGACTGTAGAGGTAAGCCCACCTTCTTCTCTTCTTCACAAAAATTCTCATAAAAAGTGTGCAGAGGAATTGAAAGTCATAATGTAAGATTCCTTGATTCTGATTCAAAATAGTGTACCCATCCATATGTACCCATCCATATGTGGTCTGTAAAAATTACACATACATTTATCAGCAAAATAGACATCCCATGATGCTTTGGCTCCTGACAAGCATACAAAATAAAAATGCATAATGATATGACTGAATTTCATCCAATGTTTTGGGCTGACTGTGAGAGCCTTGTAATAATGAGCAGTATGTTACCATAGAAACATGCACAAATAATTCTTGAATCATAACATACAACGAGAACTAGTGACAAGTTGTTACACTGTCACAATTGCCCAGGTTAAAACTAAAAATCACTCATGATAGTCTATCCTTCTGAACTTTATCTCACTGAATTCATGTGCACCACATTTTAATTTATTTAAATTTTATATTTATAATACATGTATATTACAGAATGTCCTGGTGGCAGTCGTAATCCTTGTAATGGTCATGGTACATGTAATGATGGTTACGCTAATAGCGGACATTGTTCATGCTCTAGTGGTTTCACTGGTGACGCTTGTGAGATGTGTCAAGCTGGTCGGTTTGGTCCTCAGTGCCAAGGTATGATAACATGTATCACTCATCTTATAAAAATACCTTACAACTATTAATTCTCAATAATTTCTAGAAATTCACTTTCAGATGTTCACCTCTCTGGCAATCATTAAATTTGTGTCATTCAAACATGTCACTCCACCTTTCTGACCTTTGTGTCATTTCTGGCCAATTATTGACTTTGCATCATTCATACCAGATGTCACTTCACCTTTCATATTTATGTTTATTTTAAAGTAAATACAGTATGTGTATCATTCATTGGATTATAATGCATGATGTAATATAGATATAGTAGAGCTAGTTGGAGATATCACCTGAACTGTGCCTTTATAATCACCTGAACTGTGCCTTTAATATCACCTGAACTGTGCCTTTAATATCACCTGAACTGTGCCTTTACTATCACCTGAACTGTGCCTTTAATATCACCTGAACTGTGCCTTTAATATCACCCGAACTGTGCCTTTAATATCACCTGAACTGTGCCTTTAATATCCCTCAAACTGTGCCTTTAATATCCCCTGAACTGTGCCTTTAATCAACTACTGTCATTATTTAATTTCAGAATGTCAGTGTTCAGAATACGGTACTTGTCTGGACGGTATGACTGGAGATGGATCATGTTTCTGTCATTATGGTTGGACTGGTGCTAACTGTGACACCATGTTATCTATCCCATTACCTGTATGTAATCCTCCTTGTCACAGTGATGCTGTGTGTAGACAAGATAATGTATGTCAATGCCATCCACACTATAGTGGCAACGGGAGAACATGTACAGGTAAAAACAATAACCTCCTCTTCTTCCATCCCCATCACCCTCCTCCTCCAAATGTAATGACTTTCATACTCAGGGCCATAATCCCGGTATATTTGATCAATTTCTTTGTCTCAGTGTTGTTGATTTTGTAATAATCTAAATTGTTTAATTTTTGCTGCTATGAATTTTATAGCATTCATAAAGACAAAATTTCACAAAAGTTGCTGACACACCGTGTCGTAGAAACCAGGAGAGATTTCCACTGCTAAAAATTTTGTTGATTTTCACTAAATTAAAGAATTAGTTGCATAGTTTCTCTATTTTTCTTTTGATTAAAAAATGATGATTTTGAGATATTTTTCTTGTATAAGCGCCAATAGTGTACTAGTATACCATGCTCTAGCAGCCATTTTGAATTGTTCATACCAATATCTTTATTGCTAAATTCCTGTTATCTCTTGAATAGTGATACAGCAATGTGAGTTCAAAAACGGTGGTTGTAGTCATCACGCTGACTGTCAACAAATTAACACAACAATACACTGCAGTTGCCATGAAGACTATACTGGAGATGGTGTCATGTGTAGAGGAGTGGATCGCTGTGAAATTGATAATGGTGGTTGTCATAGAAATGCATCATGTAGATACACTGGGCCTGTGAGTCTATCTATAATTCTTGATTGTCAATACTGCAGGCTTGTGTATACACGTCTACACTTGATTCACATTTTTAGCCCCACTGTCGACTTTGTCAAGCAGAGGTTATCATATGAGTGATTGTCCGTCGTCGTCATACGTCGTCCATGTAAATGTTTTACTTTTCCGACTTCTTCTTGAAAACTACAAGTCTGAATGTTTTGATACTTGGTGTATATGTACCTTGGGTAGACCTCTCTTAGGTTTGTTCATTTCATGTTGATTTCTTCAATTCTCTAATTTTGGTGAATATTTTTGTAATTTTTGGTAAAAAGTGATATTTTCGACTTCTTGTTAAAAACCGCAAATCTGATTGCTTTGATATTACATATATAGGTACTACATGTGGACCTCTCTCAGATTTGTTCGTTTTGTGATGATATCTTTAATTCTCTAATTTTAGTGAATAATTTTGTAATTTTTGGTAAAAAGTGATATTTTTGACTTCTTGTTGAAGTCCAATTGCTTTGATATTACCGGGTATACATATAGGTACTACATGTGGACCTCTGTCAGATTTGTTCATTTCGTGGTGATATCTTCAATTATCTAATTTTGATGAATATTTAGGGGCCCAAGCCCTTAGTGCGAGGCCCCTATTCTTATTGTCGTTTTTTTTCTTTCTTCTTCTTTCTTCCTTCTTCCGTAACTTTTTTGGTCAAGCCGTTTGAAAAAAACGCTGAACCGAATAGTCTGAAAATGGTCTATACTGATAGTCCCTAATGTGAACTGGTGCAACATGCTTTCAGAATTTTGATTGGTCAATTAGTTTGGCAGCCATATTGGATTGAAATAAAACCGGGAGTGGCTGTTTGACCACTTTCTGAGGGTCTAGGCGTCTAGATTTTTTATGGTATATAGTACAACTCTTGTGTAATAGAAATCAGCAATAAAAACTTTAGTGGTCACGTGACTTTTTCCGACATTTTGTTTTTCCTAAAAACGGCAAAAAACACTTAAAAATCTTCTTCTTCAGAACCGCCAAGTAAAATGTTCTTATATTTAGTACTTAGCTTCTATAAGATAAGATAAGATAATTCTTTATTACAACCTTATAGAATGAATTACATATCTATTTTGGTTTATGAAATGCAATAAAGGTGTTAAAATAAACATAACAAGTTAGATATCTAAAATCTACTACAATACAGTTACATGAAATAATGTAAAAAAAAAAATATTAATGACCCATTAGGTGGTTTTCTCTAATGGTATTTGCTGTTTTTATAAATTTGATAAGCTCTGTTAGTAAATATTTGTTGTTTGTATTCAATATATGAATGAATTTTTCTTTGTTTGTACAGTGTTGAAAATTGTTAATTTTCTTTGAAAAATGTGAATATAACAACTCTCTTTCATCTGTGTAAAGTTCACATTTTGTGATGTAATGAATTTCATCCTCAAGTAGGTTGCATTTAGTACATTTTCTGTCTTCTGTTTTTATTTTTGGTCTTTTGTGCCTTCCCATCTCGATGTTTAGTTTATGGGCACTTAGTCTCAATTTTGCTAATAGACCAATGTTTTCTTTATTATCAAGGATTTTAATGTATGGTTCAGTATTTATATTTTTCTTCAGTAATGTATAAGTTCTTAGTTTTGAATCTGGTCTTTGATTATCTTGGTTCCATTTATAATTGTAATATTCATTCACTTTTTGTTTAAACTGGTCTTTTTTAATTGTTTCTAAATTCTTAATATCATACAGCTGTTTTATTTTATGCAGATTCATTAACCATGTGTCATTATATTTGTTTTGTTGTTGATCTTTTATTGCATCATATACTAGACTGATTGGGCCATTCTTAATAATATTTTGGTAGTATATGATTGCATTCAGTTGTATTTTTGCTAGTAATGGTAGTCGTCCAATTTCCATTCTACTACCAATGTTACTTGTTCTGTTATTAACATTTAATAATCGTCTACAGAACATTAAATGGTGTTTTTCTGTACACGTTTTGTCCCAGTACTCTGGTCTGCTATTGATTCCCCAAATTTCTGCAGCATAAATGATGCATAAATGATGCATATATGATGCATATTTCTGTTTGAAAAAATTGTTATGATTGGTCACGTGGTTTGGTCGCCATTTTGGATTCCTTCTCAGCAGGAAGTAGTATTTTTACTCATGCCACACTTGAGGGATTATCTTTAATTTTGCTGCATGGCATCTCTATATCAAACTCTTTCAGAAACCCAAAAAAGATTTCAGATCAGTCACATGGTTTGGCCGCCATCTTGGATTTTAGGCAAAATTTACCAAAAGTTTGGGCATTTGTTTCTCAAAGGTTCTTCAACCGATCTAATGGATGTTTTTATATATAGTGTGCCTGGCCATAGCTGCATATGAGAAAAATAATATAAATTTGATGTGTCACATGGTTTTGCCGGCATATTGTATTTTGTGGAAACGGAACATGTGCAATTACATGTGTTGTATTGGTCTGATTTGGCAAAAATTGTGTATGTCAATTCTCCTCCAGAATCGCAATCTTTCCCATGAATGTCACATGACTAGATTGTGTGGCTACACGCCCATGGAGTGGGGGGCTTCTAACCTCATTAATATGCATAACTGCTATATCTTAAGCACTGTTGTAGTTAGGAAGATGAAACCTGCTGAATTATGATGACGTTAAACAAGAGATTTGACTAAAATAACAGATGACTATATATGGTCATGTGAACTCATTATTATGCATAATTGTCATATCTGAAACACTGTCGCAGAGCAGGACATGTAACTAGTGTCATTATGAAGACATTGAATGAAAGATGTAACTGACATAAGAGAATACCATTTATGATTATGTAACCTAATTAATATGCATAAGCACATAGCACCTTGTATATTCTAAAAAACATATCTCAATAACCAAACCAGGTAAATAGAAGGAACCATTGGCATGTCAACCTCATTGTACAAATCATTCAAAGTACCTTAATGGCAATTCAGGTGACCACTTTAATTACGGAATTCGTCTGATAGCTTGGGCCCCTGTGACGCTGCTTGCAGCTTTAATTTTGAATTCTTGTTGAAAACAGCAAGTCCGACTGCTTTGATACTATACATTTTGTTCATTTTCTAATGATATCTTCTGTTATTTAATTGAAATGTGCATTGCTAACAGTGGAGCTATTCCAGCCGACAGGCTGCTTGTTTTGAATTTGTAGAAACTTTTTTGGTTTGGTTTGG